TTGGCATATGGATAATTGTCTAATTGGAACACACTCAGTTGTAACCACCAAAGAATGTAATAGTGCATCTGTTTAATGCCATACTCTCAAATGTTAAATTAAAATTATGCTGTAGTCAGCCAACCCAACCAGGAGACACTTCTGATTAAGTTCTTGCTGCTTGTGAACTTCTGTAATTGAGACACAGTGGTACTTAAAAATTCAAACTAGAAAGAATATTATACAGTCTCATAAATATCAATGAAAAGGACCAGAAAGGCTGACTTAAATTATCTAGTTGTGAATGCTCTCACTGTTTTTGTAGGGCATCTAGTCAAATGAAGAATAGCAGGTTTGAATCACCACTGTTTTGAATACATAAATATTAGATTCACAGGTTTATACTTTGTAAACAATAAAGCATTAATTTTGTAGAATACACAAAATAGTCTGTAGTGTTGGTTTTAATTTTCCCTCTAGTGGTAGTTTTATTCTTTTATTTTAAAACTGGGACATGAAGAATTAATTACATAATTATGAATTAATTGATTGGAATTCTTTAACCTTTTAAGAGATATTCGTCTTCAGATGAAAAAAGGGTATCTGGAACTGCCAGTGTAATAAATCAAAATGTCTTAAGTGGAGCTGCTATTTTCCTCTGAAAGTTTTATATATTCATATGTCTAAAACAAATTACCCAGCAGCAGAGTCTCAAAGTGTTTTTGTTGTCATTTTGGTTCAACCCCAGAGAAATCAGAGCAATCTTTCATTCATCCTTACCTACTACCTACTACGTGTTACGTGTACCCAACTGACACATTATCAACCCCACTTTTGGTAGGTCTAGTCTAGCTGAAGATAGATAGGAAATGTGTTGTACTGTAGCAAATGCCTTGGAAGCATAGAGGTTAGATGAACTATGGTTGTTTAGTTGATTCTTTATTGGGGAAGAACCCAAGGCTACTGCCCATAATTGTGTAGGTTTTGCCCTGGAAAATAGTAATGAAGCCAAGCCTACAAAGTAAATGAGAAAGAAACCCAGTCCCTACTCTATTACCCAAGCCTGTGCCTTTGTGAGTGGTAGGGGTGGGGAGTGTCTATCCCTCTTGGCAACCTTTGAGCAACCTTTGAGTTGGGGCTTCAAGATTGAGTAGAAGTGGGATACCTGTGGCTCATACCTGTAAGCTTAGCAACTCATGTGGCTGAGATCTGGTGATCAAAGTTTGAAGGCAGCTTCAGCAGGAAAATCTGTGAGCCTTTTAGATCCAATTAATAATCAAAAAGGACAAAAGTGGAGGTGTGCCTTGAGCAAAAAAATGCTTAGAGACTAGTTGGGTACTGGTGGCTCATGCCTGTAATCCTAGCTACTCAGGAGGCTGAGAGTTGAGTATTGTGGTTCAAAGCCAGCCTAGGCAGGAAAGTCTCTGAGACTCTTATCTCCAATAAACCACCAGAAAACCACCAGAAGTGGCACCATGGCTCAGGTGGTAGAGTGCTTGCTTGCCTTGAGCTTACAGCTCCCAGGCCCAGAGTTCAAGCCCAACAACCAATACACACAGACACACACATAAGAAGCTCAGAGACAGCACCCAGTCTCTGAGTTCAAGCCCAATGACCCCCCACACACACACCCCAAGTAGGAAACTGCCAGGCAGAATTCTGAGTAGTAAGAGAATGTATGCATATCTGAGGAAGAATGAGAAGTCCTATAGTTTGGATTTCATCTTTTGGGCCCAGGAAACAAAAAATATTTTTAAGCATGGCAACACTTTAATTGTTGCATGGGCAAATCTCTCAGAAGTGTAGGGGGTGAATGTCAGTGTGATTAGGCAAGATCTTAGTAGCTTTAACTATGACAAAAGAAAGAATGGAGAAAAGACAGAGGAATAAGCAGGAGTGGGGGGGGTGGAGACTTGAACTCTGGATACCACAGGAGGAGGGTTGTGCAGGGTGAGGAGAGGATAAGCTATTGGACACCATTTAAACAATCAGAGAAGGATGCAATGTATAGTAAATGACAGACAGAGCCTAAAGAACTAGTACATGATATGTGTGGCTGAAGCCATGTATACAAATGGGATTTCTAGAGACAGCTTATAGCTGGCAGAAAAGAACCTGGCATTTCAAGTGGCAATTACAAAAAGCACTGGTGACATTAGTAGAATAGACATGCAGAATGAAGTCACATAGTAGGGCCACAGATTAAGTGAACATTGAAGGAAGCAGGAATTCTTACTCCCTCCTTATGTATTAGCATTAACTGAAAGTTTTTTGTATAAAAAGGAAATCAATGCCTGGGTCCCACATCTAGTTATTCAGAGTTAATTGGCCTCCTGTGGAGCCCAGAAATCAGTATTTTTAAAAAATCTTCTCAGATGATATTAATAAATAACCAGAATGATCAGAATGAAGAACTAGTGCCCTTGACTATTCTTTTAAGAAGGATAAATAAAACCCCAAAGCTTGAAAGCATATGATGAGATGCTTATAACTGCAGAGAATCAGAGAATAGAATTTTTTAATGAAGAATCTTTATATTCTGTAACTGGCAAATATGAAAAAACCTGAAAAATGCTTTCCATGAAGATGTGAGACAATGCAGCTCTTACCTACCACTGGGGTGTATGTGAAGCAGTAGAACAATAATGTAGGGTAGCTTTGCTACAACATCTGGCTAGGCACATCTGTGAGCCCAGAAGTTCACCCCTGGTTATGTGTGTAAGGGAAACCATTCCACAGGACCACAGGAAAACATGTTCTAGAATATTCACCTTGTAAAAGCATTGGAGACAGTTTGAGTATCCTTCATTGGAAGGGTATATTAGGTACAAAAAAAGGGGGGAGGGAGGGCTAAAATATTCTACAGAATATTATACAGCCACCAGAAGCAATAGAGGAGTTATACAAAATGTTAATCTGGCTGGATCCTAAAAAAATAGTGAAAATATAGAAAACCCGGACAGCCATGACAATGTATACATTTAAATATATACATTTAAATAAGGATCTAGACACTGTAAACCACTGAAGTGATTATCTACTCACAAGAAGCAAAGGGAGCAATGATGAAAGAGGAGATGTTTTATCTAAAAAGTGTGATTCCCAGGGAGGAAAGGGAAAGGAAGCTTAAGAAGTGGGGTCAAGGGTAGGGATTGTGTATGTTTCTATAGGATGGAGAGTTGGAAAGTGTAGATGAAAGATTGCAGTAGACTTCTCTCATTACTATGCAGTGTTGGAAGTAACAGCTGAGAGGTGAACCCAAGTAGTATTCTTCTCCCCCTCCCCAAGTTCATTACTGAAACACTGTGTGTTCTTTACAAAATGAACAGGAAGATCCACAGACCTACCCAACTGCCCAGAGACAATGTCCAGATCCTTTCCTAAGACTATGGTGTGACTTAATGGGTCAGTATATTCCACAGAATATTATGCAATCACCAGAGGCAGTAGATCACACCCCAGTCAATAAGCTGGAAAAGGTGGTTCATACCTGTGGTCCTGGCTATACAGGACATTATAAGAAGGTAAATCATGGCTCAAAGCCAGCCCTGGGCAGAAATGCCAAGACCCTATCTCAAAAATAAAGCAAAGAAAGGGCTGGTGGTGGTATGGCTCAAGTAGTAGAGAACCTTACAAAGCCCTCAGTAGTTCCAACACATGTTCAAAAAAAGATTGGATTTGAAATTGCTCAGTTAAAAACCATTTGATATCATCTATATTAGAGACACACATTACTTTGGGACAGTTGGGCCTGTCATGAGTGAGATTGAAGGCACAGGGTCGCCCCTCCTGTTCAGACAGCAGTAAACCACACAAACCAGAGCCAGATGTGGTTGGATGGTGATATGGACAGATAGGAGAATAGAAGGCACTAAGTGTTCGGGAAATGATAAGAACGTTACTGTTTTTGCCAGGGAAACCCAAAGTGGTTCTTAAATCTGGACTTGGTGCCAAAGCAAGGAGGAACAAGTGCCAAGTCAAGGGAAAGAGCAGTGTGCTTTGATTACCATCTACCCTGCAAGTCCTACAGAGCCAGTCGTTTTGAAGATTGAATGCAGCCCTTTTAGTTAATGAGAAACGCAATGCCAGTATTTCTTTAGGCTTTGATATTCAGGTTTGACCAGGCTCTGAAAAGGCAACCTGGACGTTGGAGATAGGTTGCTTCCTGAGAGGAATGTACTAACCCTCCTCATCATCAATGCAGTATTTGTTAGGTATGGCAACAGGAAAATCCTCCTTTGTCTTTTCAAAGTGGTCCTTTGTTGTCAAGATGTGAACAGACACAGTTGTTTCCAGAGCCCATCTTGAAGCTCATGAGCATCTTCTCCAGCCTCTAACATAGAACTGTGTGGCTGAGAATCAGCAGTGGAATCTAGGCAGACAAGATCAGCCTCCCCGTGAGTTATAGGTATGGTGCCAGGAGAGCTCAAAAAATCCCTTAAATGTCCTGCTTCAAAATAGCAGTGTAAGCCATAGCTTCATGTTTTGACAGCTTATATCAGCAATTTTCTTGGCTGATATATTGATTGTAGTTTGGACTTGAGTTCCTGCTGATCTAATAAAACATCATCGTCATAACAGAGAAAATAAGATGATCCTTTGTGGTACCTGCCACTTGGTGAAGTAGTTCTCTGGGGTGGCCAGAAAGCTAGCTTTGCCTTAATATGCAAGTGAATTGAATTGGACAAAATGAGTTAATTTTATTATTTGATCTCATCAGCTATCAGGATGTTGTTCACTAATGTATTCTGCATATGTTTTCAGAGAAATGTAATGGTGCCTTCACAGACACTAAAACAGATTTTGTACATCAGGATCACAAACAGCCTAAATGTGTAGTCAGAACGGCAGTGTTCCCTATACTTAAGTGGGGGAAATACATCACCAAAGCTCAGCCAGAATCTGGATGGAGCTCTAAGTGGTGTAAAAATCTATGCTGGTCATCTTGAGGATATGGTGCATTTTTTATGTTCTCCTGGCCTGCAGACCTACTGATGTTCAATATCCTTTTATTTTCATAGCAATTACTGACCATCCAGGAGGAGCTAAATAACAAAAAGTCAGAACTGGAACAAGCAAAGGAAGAGCAGTCCCACACACAAGCACTACTGAAAGTTCTCCACGAACAGGTAAGCAAACAAATCAGTTTAGACATCCCCACCACATATTCCCCAGTGCGTGGCTCACACAGACATGACTGAAGGGAATCTGAGGAATAATTAGCCTTACCCTGTCAACTTTAGCAACTTTGCTCTGTGGAATTTATAATGTCTTTCTCAACATCTCTATCTTCACCCCAGTTCCTACCAAGGCCTACCTACGTGTGAATATTTATTCAAGAAAATATGAATGAGGTTTGATACAGTTTTAAATATTGGCAATGTAGATGAATAAGCAGTTAGTTTCCTCTTAGGTCTGAGAATGAAGAAAACAAGTTTAGTCTAATCTGTGTTGGTCGTGCAGACATACAGGCAGAAAAGAGACAGATTCATGGCTACATTAAAAATATACCGTCTCTCTGAATCAGGGCACTTATCCGGCCATAGCAAGTGCTACAAACCTTTCATATGAAGTTTGTAAATCTGATCATTTCATCCTGGCTTTCTTTGATCCAGAAGTGTGGCCTGACATTGACAAGTGGATGGGAGAGTATTGTCTTACAGCAGCAGAAGATGGATCACTCTGCAGGCAGGCAGCCCAGTGAAATCTAAGCCCCATTGTCTGTCCTGGAGGAGCCATGAGAGCCCTTGAAATGCTTTCTGAGTTCTGGCCTCTCCCTGTTGCCAAGAAAGTAATGAGTGCTAATGAAATGAGCGGGCACAAAAAAATCACAGATAATAAACCCAGTGCTGGTGAACCAAGTGCAGGTTGTGCTAAATTTTTCATTCACACATAGCTATGAGAACATTATTTATACCATTTATTCTAACTCAGAGATTTAGAAAATTGAAAATATGAAGTAAGCAGAGCATGGCCATAATCAGCTGGGACTCAGCTAGTTTATAAACAATTTTTATTTTTTGCAATGATTTTTAGATTATAAATATATTTTATTAGTTATTGTCCCCGAAAAATATAAATGACTTGTTAGGGAAAAGTGAAGACACTGAGTATTTGTAAACTTTTAGGGCCTTGGACAAAATGGTGTACAAAAGTAATGATGTTATATGGTTAATATGGTAATATATGTTATATGGTTAAAAGTAATGATGTTATATGGTTAATATATATGGTTAATAATAGACTGAATCTGTATGATTTGAGCAATGTGAGATTGAACTGAATGTCTGGTTGACTCAATTCACACTTATCAGCAGTCTGGGAACACCATCAACACTCTCCCCCCCCACACACACACACATTGTCATTGTTACAATACAAGGACCATAGCTTTATGCTGGTGTTTTTTCTACTTGCTCTCTCCTTGGCTTTTTTTTTTTTAAATAAAGCTTTTAATTTGGAGAGGGGAGGGGTGGACTTTTCCCTTCTTTAAACAACTCAAATCCTTTTATTTTGATTTGAAATCCAAACTTAGTCATAAGAATAGACTCTTGAGTTGTGCCAAAGAAATTGATATGGAGGTGTTATGACATGTGTTTTTAAAGAGTAAAACACTCACGTGGGGTGGAGAATTGGGGAGCTGGAGAGCGATGGGAAGAAGAAGAGAGAGGAGGAAGAATGACTGAATGTGAAGAGTCAGGACAACTACCGTCATTAAAGACTTAGAAAATAGGGATGAGAAGCCAGGAGCCGGAGGCTCATGCCTGTAATCCTAGCTACTCAGGAGGCTGAGATCTGAGGATCGCAGTTCAAAACCAGCCTGGGCAGGAAAATCTGTGAGACTCTTATCTCCAATTAACCACCAGAAAACCAGATGTGACACTGTGGCTCAAGTGGGAGAGTGTTTGCCCAGGCCCAGAGTTCAAGCCCCATGACTGACAAAAAAAAGAAAAAGAAAATAGGCATGAGAAAGAAGTAGTTTTTGCATCAGCAGACTTGATGGTCTTTTTTTTTAAATAGAGGAACCGAGAATATCCAAGTCTCTTGTAGGAGGGGTTGATATGCAATAGCCAGTGGCCACCTGTGTACTATTTCCACTACCAAGCCATTGCCTGAGAGCCCCACCATACTGTCTCTACTTGTCCTTGAAGAAGGACATCTGCACAGTACACAATTCAGGCCCTCTCCTGGCAGTCCACCCTCCCGTGGAAGTAAATGGAAAAATACCTCTTGCCTCCACAAACATGGCTTTCCCAGGCTTTCTTTGTGTATGTGTACTACAGCTATACATGAAAACACTGCATCTGTGCCCACACAGATACTGCCTTAATAAATATACTTGCAGGTACATACACACAGAGAGAAATGTGTATACTTCACTCAACATTTATGATTTTGCTATTTGAAGCAATTGTCAGTGATGAGGAATACTGACAAGAAAGGCTAGGTCTTGAGGGCAGACTCTTCCCTTAAGGGTCTCAACCCCTTCATGGAAGGGGTAGTTGGGTGAGTGCTCTAGGCTTTCCCTGTGTGTTGAGATGCAACTTCCCTAGGCCCCTCCCTCCACCACTGCTGCCTTCCATTTCCAAGATAGTGATGGGGGCTTCCTGCACCTAGATGAGGGAGAGGAGAGGTTGGGAAAGGAGCAGAGAGAGACACTGAGAGGGCAGAAGCATCAAGGCCTGCATGGAGAAGCACCTGCAGGCTGGGGGGTGAACAGTACTGCGGTCAGGAGATGGGAAGAGAATGGGTGGCACAGAGGGGCACCTGGATCAGAGAGGCTGAGATTTATTGAATAGGGAGAAGGAGAGCAACTGATATCTTTATGCAGTTATGGATCAAATAGTCCTTTACTTCTTGAATGATATAGTCATGAACAAATAGTCCTTCTGCTACAGAGCAGACCTTTCTTCTGTGATAACTCATGGCAGTACAGTTTATTAGACTAAAGGTGAGATACACCGAACAAAAAGATTTAAAAATGCCCTACTAAGAAAACCTTAAGCTAGGGAAACACGGTTTTTTTAAAAGTCTTTACATGTGATATGTTAATAGATAGTCTGGCTATTACTGTGGTGTACACGTAAGGTATATAATATATAAAACATACTGTATATAGACACATGCATCTATCTACCTACCTATCTATCTATCTATCTACCTACCTACCTACCTATCTATCTTTCTATCATCTATCTTGCCCAAATACTCCTATATGTTATGCATAGAACTATCTGTGAGGCACCCTTAAAGATGATTAATTAATTTTTTCCATTAATTTGATGGATGTGATCATGAACCAGAGAACCTTGGATCTATAGCCATCTGACTGTGGATCCTCAGTTCACTGTCCCTTAGCTTTTTCATGTAAGGCTGGTGATCTATCACTCGAACCACACCTCCACTTCCTGTTTTTTGGTGATTAATTGGAGATAAGAGTCTATGGACTTTCTTTCCCTAGCTAACTTTGAAGCTCAATCCTCAATCTTAGTCTCTAGAATAGATACATTAGAGGCATGAGATACTGGCACCCAGTGCTTGTTTGAGTTTAAAGCTTGAGTTTAAAGCTACCCTGGAAAGCCTAGATACTTTCACTTTAATATGCTCAGATGGCCAGGAAGAACCAGTGTACAGAATCCACACACATTGGTGGGATATATGATTGTTCTTTTCTTTCCAGTTTTAAGTACCTGTTTCCCACCGTAAGTCCTTCCTATGAAGCAGGAAAAAGCCCAGCAGAGATGTTGTCAAGCAGCTGCCAGGCCACCTCACCTACTCCTTTGCTACCTGTCTCTAGAGGTCTGCTCCTAGCCAAGACAGGATCAAATGCTAATTACAGCTTTCCTAAACTTCCTGGTAGCTCATTACTCTAGGGCCTTTTGAGAGAGAAGAGTGTTTTCTAGGAAAAGAAGCAAAGCGTCCTCTCTCATTAGGTCCAGATACGGTGTCAGTCATTCAGACGTGTTTTTTCTCAGGGAGGACATGTACTGTAGCCTTGCGGCGTGTTCCAATGTCAGGCAAACCCATCATTCATGAGTGATCGTTAGCAGAACATCATTTAGCTGGTGGCAACTTGCAAACACTGCAGGGTTTAAATTAATAGCAATCCAAGTAGGAAACGAAATCGTTTCTTATTCTTAAGAACCACTTTTGTATGTTTTATGCCTATGGAACTGCTTTCTAATCTTATTATTCAAAAAATAAAGACCAAGATTCTTCTTCTTCTCTTTTCTTTCTTTCTTTCTTTCTTTCTTTCTTTCTTTCTTTCTTTCTTCTTCTTCTTCTTCTCTCTCTATCTCTTTTTTTTTTGGCCAGCCCTTCAAGCTTCTTAAAATCTCAAACTGGTTTCAACAAGACTCATTAGAATGATGTGCTCCATCTGTTTTCCTTCACTGGAAGTTTTATAAAATGCAACCTCAGATAAATCAGAGCTAATAAGTGGATATATACTTACCAGATATACTTGCTTCTTCTTTCACTGTTGTTTTCTTTAAATGTTTCAGTTAAAAGGTACAAAGGAGTTGGTGGAGACCAATGGCCACAGCCACGAGGACACAAATGTATGTACCAGGAACCTGGTGTTTCCTCTTCTCATTGGGTTTTAGGGTGAACTGTGGGATATTTATGTTATAAATAAAATGCTGCTTTTCAGTCTTTTAAGATTATTATACAGGCTGTGCTAAAAAAAAAATGTAGATAGCTCCGCTATTGTTAGCTTAGTTTAGCAAATGTCAAGTTAAATGTCCTTGAGCTAATCCCTACCTTCAAAAGTTTCTGATCTCAATGAATTTTCTTGAGCCCTTTATATTTCCAAAGCTAAGTAAATGCAATGAGACCCCGGTAAATAAGTTGTATACTGCATGTATATTTAACTTTGCCTGCCAAGGAAGGTCATAATTAAGTGATTGACATGCTGAAGAGATCTCTGAGTTCCTCACTTGCCCAAAAACTTGTCCAAGGAAGTACTTCTCTTCTGTTTCTGACCCTACACAGTAGCAGGATGCATCTTCCTTCCTGATGATGTTGAGCAGATCCCAATGAGCTCTGTGCTTCCTCTCTCACTGTCTCTTAAATATTAATTTGCCAAGCAAGAGATAAGTATTCTCTGTGTCTTGTAAGCTCAACAGTCTTAGACAGAGTATTATTCCTTGTATAGAGCATTGTCTATCCCTATGTCCAATGGTGTTGGTTTTGCCTTTACTTAAATCTCTCTGAGATCTCTGTGTACCTCATTACCTTTATCACAGGAAATGCTTACTAAGTGGTTCTTTTTATGTAGAACAGACTCAGATGTGATGATGAATGCCTGATTAAACACATCTAGGAGAAATTACATATTTCACATTCACCCTTATTTTAATTATATATTGCAGACAGCCTAATAATCCAAGTGCCCAGAATATTCCGTTTTCTAGTTACTTGGGCCTACCCAAACAATATTTCACATAGGATACTTACTTTCCTGTGATCCTGGTATTCTGCCTAAGTAGTAAAGGGTAAAAGGTAGGGATTTTGGAAAAGCAGGAGGCATGTCATCTACTCTCAAGGAACTGATACTTAAGGAAAATTTGGTGATAGAGTGTGGCATGTTCAAAAGGGTGGGACAGTTGGGATGGGATACAGTTTGAAGTTCAGACTGTGCTGCTTATAAACAGTGTCTGCTTTAGAAGTTACTTCACTTCTCTGTGCTTCATTTTCCTATTTCCCTTAAAAACCTATCATGATATTGTAATTGTTATTATAGCTTTTTGTGAGTAATCAAGAAAAAAAAAAGCTTCCTGGATCTGTGGGATTTGGCTGGACTTTGATGGATGTGTAGGACAGGGAACTGGAAGAAGGGACTCTCACGGTGCTATCCCCATTGGCAATATTGTGACATGAACAGTTCATTACCTTCATTCTTACTCCCAGACCCTTCTTCAGGTTCCTGTACTCCAGGGACCCAGTGCTGCCACCTTTGGAATCAAAACTTTCATATCCACTCCACTCTGGGCCAGTCCCTCTGCAAAAGGAAGTTGCTGTCTAATTAAATAAGCCAGATAGAGCTGTGTGGGGTCTCAATTTCCCACCCTTGTTAAAAGGAATTATACTGCCTGCCTTCCTTATTTCCTTCCTTCCTTCCTTCCTTAAGGGTTCATGTGAGAAGCAGATGAGATAATGGATAATGGATTGGAATTGTAAGGTGCTGAGTAAGAAGTTGTTCTGGTGCTGATTGGATTAAAGTAGATGATGATGATATAGATGATGATGATGATGATGATGATGATGATGATGTGTGTGTGTGTGTGTGTGTGTGTGTGTGTGTGTGTGTGTGGTGTGTGTGTGTAAAGAGAGCCTGATATGACATCTAGCCATTAGGCCCTTAGTTGAAAAACATTGAAGTCATCTATTATTACTATTATTATTCCTCCCTTGTGGAGGAAAGATTTTTATATTTTTAAACCTTTGTAGGATCTACAAGGTAGGCTTTTTAATCAGCTCAAAGAAATGACCAGAGATGCTCATTTTCTGCTGGGGAAGAAGAGGTAGCCATGACACCTTGGCTGAGGGCTTACTGAGAATGTTTGGAAAGGACATGGCCTGCTGGTCCCTCCCTCCCCCTCTCCCTTCACTGCTGGTGGCCACCTCCCCATTGGGTAGAAGCTAGCCTGATTTTAAGTCTCTGACTTGTTTGCCAGGGCTTTGCCAGTAGGTGAGTTAGTCATCTGTCTGTCTTTGATGTCTGCAAATTTGGCTTCTTTTGTCTGTGCTTCGGTGAGAGTAATGTGAAAGCAAAGATTTTTTTTTTCAATTGTTATTTGGGCCAGGCATTAGAAGCTGTAATAAAATAGTTTGTGCAATCTCCATCTCTTCTGAAGTGGCCACCAGGGCTACCAAGGTTGAAAGAAACATGGCTTGCAAACCAGAATGAGAGAGTTAAATCGAATTTGATTGGGCACATGGTCCTTGTGAACTTCACCTTCCATGTTAATAAGCGTGTTAAGGGCTGTATAGAGATACTTGGCCTAGAGCAGATACTCAACAGGTACAAATTTCACTACTGGTATGTGACATACCAGGCAGGACTTTGGCAGGATGTCTGTTTGTTTTAGTTTACATTTTTGTGCTGGTACTGGGGCTTGACCTCAGGGCCTCGGTGCTGTCCTTTAGCTCCTTTGCTCAAGGTTGATGTTCTAGCATGTGGACCATAGCTCCATTTTTTTTTTTGCTTTTTGGTAGTTAAGAGATTCATAGACTTTCCTGCTCAAGCTGGATTCAAACTTCAATACTAGATGTCTGCCTCCTAAGTAGCTAAGATTACTGCCATGAGCCACCAATGCTTAGCAGCGGGATGAATTTTAATGTGGCTCAGGAGGAATAAGCCTGGGGCCCAAGGCTATTGATAAGTCAGGATGTTTTTCACTATAATTACACACGTCTGGGTAGAAATTTTATACATTATTACTTATTGATAGTTATTGTATAGCAACCAGTATTGACTTAGGTGGATATTCTTAGTGGATGTACAGATACTTAAAAAAAAGTCCATTAAATAACTTATATTTGAAGTTTGTACATTACAGAAAAGAATACAACATAAAATAATTTAGTATCTCATTTCTGAGAGATAACTACTATTAACATCCCATTTTAGTTTTGTTTTCTCTACTATGTACATCATCAGAGGAAAGAACCTGTAAGGAAATGAATAAGAATTAGTACATTGTCTCATTTGTTCATTTTTGATATCTCACTATAAGTTAAATACTTTTCAGGCTACCAACAATTCCTCAAAGATATGACACAGTGACTGTATAATGTAGGTTGAATAACTGAGTATATACCTATGTTTTGCTATGACAAATAATACTGTAATTAACACATCTGTTTCTGGGGGTTCTGTATATTATATGCAGAGTCCTAAAGTCTGGTGGAGAGCTTCAGACTTCTGGTAGGCTCCAGTCAGACAGACTGGTTTGTTAACAGCTGGTCTTGTGATTTTAACATATGCCATAGTCTCTAGTCATCCTGTTGATGGTATGTGACTATTACTTTTTTATAGGTTTTGTATTTTACTGAGCACCAACAGATTCTAGCTAACCCCTGGTCTGGCATTCCTGCGCTCCTCAAACAGACACCTTGTCCCCCATAGCAGGAGATTCTTCATTAGGTCATGCCCAGGAGAAAAGTTTTCTGAAGGCTAAAACCACGAATAGCCCCAAACCGAGGCCGACCTGGTCTCTGAGAGGAATTAGACAGTTTGGTCTCACACTTGCTGATTTTCTGTACTTTCATCCCTGTATTCGAACTGGGTTAAAAACAGATGGGCAGTTCTACCTTTGACATGGACTTAAGTCCAAAATGAGCCTTTATCCCAGTCCCTTTAGAGATTTGTTATTCCAAATTTCTTTTTTTCCTAGAAAGCAAAACTATAAATTTCCTTTGGATGCCCATCTCTATACTATTTCCAACACCTAGAACTGCCAACTACTAATATAAAACAAATTAGAAAATAAGATGATCCAGCTTCATATAACATCTTTCTTTAAAAATAGTTATCTCCAGTAGCATCATTACCTGTGATTCCAGTGGGTGTATTAGTGTTCAGGGAGAGGGGAGCAGGAGGGATTGAAGGAATGCAGGAACAGATGAGGATTGACACAAAGTGGGAGCTGAAGCTACCAGTGTGGAGAGCAATTTTTGGTCTAAGAGGTTTCCCTGCGCATCTCCCCTTCTGGCTTTGTTTCACTTATAGAGAAACTGCCACCCCCATGCTCACCCCTAGTTGTCCAGTTTCCTACCCCAGGGTTAAAGATGTGTGCAATCTGTAAAATGGCCAATACACGGTCAAACAGAACACCCTTCTAACCAACAATAAAACAAACACACAAAAGAAAAAAGATTTCTCAGTTTTTCATGTGGTCTCCCTAAGAAGGTAAATCCTTGGAGCTGTCTTTAAATCTGTCGGGGTAAAAACATTAGGAGAGCATGCAAGAGATACTGCGGGAAGAGCATTCTTCAAGTTTCTTGAGAAAGCTATTGTTAGCCATATATTTTAATGATGTCTATGCAAGAGCCCAAGCAGAAGCGCAGTCCTCTTCCCCAGCTAGGGTGTGGCTTTCATCCTTCAGACAAGTAAAGCACCAGTTAAGAATCCCATCGTGGGTAATAAACAAGGCTACTGTGGGCAGGCAATTTCACCATGCTGTGTTCAAAAAGGGAAAGAATACCTCAGGCCCCATTGTGTCTTCCTATAACCACTTGAGCCCTGGTTTTAGAGTATCCCAAATCTTAAAATGAGAGGTGAATAGACAAGACAGAGACAGTAGTTTTGCCCCTTTCCAGTCCCAACCTATGGTCCCAGCAAAGGACTTGGACAAGCAGACTTCCTCTATGGCATCAAAGGTGCCCCATCTTTTTACTTTTCTCCTCACAGCCTGCCCCCAACCATCTCTTGCTGTCCCTTCTATGTGTTTCCATGTAGCTTGCCTTCCCCTTTTACCCTTTTATAGTCTTTGAAGAAGGCAGCAGAGTAGAGTATTCAGGACAGATCTGAGCACTAAGTTCGTTTAGCCCTGCC